GACACGCAATCTGTTCATTTAATATATAATTGTTTTCTTTAGTATACCCACAGAGTTGTAAAACCATCACCCCAGTCAACTTTAGAACATCTTTATCACTCCCACAATGTATCTGTACCCATGAGCAGTCACTCCCCATTCCTCCCTACTCCAGGCCTAGACAACCACTAATCTACCTTTGGTCTCTATTGATTTTCCTATTGTGGAGATTTCATATAAATAAAATCATACAATATGTGGTCTTGTGCGTCTGGCTTCTTTCACTCAGTATACTGTTTTCAAGGGTCATCCCTGTTGTAGCATGTGTCCGTACTTCAATATTTTCATGATTGAATAATATTCCACTGTATATATACCAAATTTTGTTTATCCATTCATCAGTTGAAGGACATGTAGGTTGTTTCCACTTTTTGATTATTATAAGCAATGCTACTATGACCATTGATGTACACATTTTTTTTGTAAACCTGTTTTCATTTCTCTTTGCTATATCCCTAGGAGTAGAATTGCTGGTTTCTATGATAACTCTGTACTTAACATTTTGAGGAACTGCCAGACTGTTTTCCAAAGAAGTTGCACCATTGTACATTCCCACCAGCCATGTATGGGGGGTCCAATTTCTTCACCAACATTTATTTCCCATTTTTTAAATTGCAGTAGTCCCCCTTATCCATGGTTTTGCTTTCTGTGGTTTCAGTTACCTGTAGTCAACCTCATTTCAAAAATTTGAAATGGAAAATTCTATAAATAAACAAGTCCTAAGTTTTACATCGCAGGCCATTTGAGTGCCTCCCTTCATCTCATCATGGGGGCTTGTATCATCTCACATCATCACAAGAAAGGTGAGTACAGCACCATTAAGATATTTTGAGAAAAGACCATAGTCACATAACTTTTATTACAATGTAAGCAGTAAGTGTTCTATTTTATTATTAGGTATTGTTGTTAATCACTTACTATGCCTTATTTATAAACTTTATCACAGATATGTATATATAGGAAAAAAACAGTTATTTATAGGGTTCATCCTATCTGTGGTTTCAGGCACCCACTGAGGTTCCTGGAATATGTCTCCCGTGGATAAGAGGGGACTACTATATAGCCATACTAGGGAATGCTAAGTAGTGTCTTGTGATTTTATTTTACATTTCCCTAAAGACTGATGATGTTCAGCATCTTTTCCATGTGCTTATTGACTATATGTATATATTTGGAGAACTGGCTATTTGAACCTTTGACCCACTTTTTAATTGGGTTGTCTTTTTATTATTGAGTTGTGAGAATTACTTATATATTCTGGATACAAGTTCCTTATCAAATGTGACTTGCAAATATTTTCTCCCATTCTGTGGGTTGTCTTTTTCACTTTATTAATGGTGTCCATTGAAGTAAAGAAGTTTTTAATGTTGATAAAGTCCAATTTATCCATTTTCTTTATGTTACCTGTGATTTTGATGTCATGTCATTTCAAAAAAACTCAAGGTCACAAAGATTTACTCCTAAATTTTAAGAATTTTACAGTTTTACTTTCAGCCAAGAGGGAGGCGTAGGTAGATACACTTTGCCTCCTTGCACAACCAAAAGAAGGATAACAACAAATTTAAAAACAAAATAACCAGAACTGCCAGAAAATCGAACTGTATGGAAGTCCGGCAACCAAGGGGTTAAAGAAGAAACATTCATCTAGACTGTTAGCTGGGGGTGGGGGGGGGGGGCGAAGATGGGCAGCCTGGGCAGAGAGGACATGTGGCAAGGTGGTAGCTGGCAGACTGGACAGTCCCACATTTGCATGCGGATAAACCAGGAGGAACAGCTGGAGAGCAAGACAGACCACACAATCCAGGGCTCCAGTGTGGGAAGAGAAAGCCTCCAAACCTCTGGCTGTCAAAAGCTGTGGGAGATGCAGCAGTGGGAGAAACTCCCAGCCTCACAGGAGAGTATCTTTGAGAGACCCACAGGGTCCTAGAACGTACACAAACACACCCACCTAGGAACCAGCACCAGAAGGGCCCAATTTGCTTGTGGGTAGCGGGGGAAGTGACTGAAAGTTGGCTGAGAGCAGAGCGAGCAGCACTGTCCCCCCTTGAACCCCTCCCCCACAGACAGTGTCACAACGCAGCGACCTGGGTTGCCCCGCCCTGGTGAATACCTAAGGCTCTGCCCCTTCCAATGATTCCCAAGGCAGACTGAGACAAAGAAATATGGTCCAAATCAAAGAACAGATAAAAGCTCCAAAAAATGAACTAAGTGATGAAGAGATAGCCAACCTATCAGTTCAAAACACTGGTAATCAGGACTCTCACAGAAATGGTTGACTATGGTTGCAAAATGGAGGAAAAAGTAAAGGCTACACAAAGGGAAATAAAGAAAAATATGCAGAGAACCAACAGTAAAAGGAAGGAAACTGGGACTGAAATCAATGATTTGGAGCAGAAGGAAGAGATAAGATTCAACCAGAACAGAATGAAGAAACAAGAATTAAAAAAAATACGGAGAGGCTTAGGAACTTCCAGGACAACTTAAAACATTCCAACATCTGAATCATAGGGGTGCCAGAAGGAGAAGACTAAGAGCAAGAAATTGAAAACTTATTTGAAAAAATAATGGAGAACTTCCCCAATCTGGCCAAGGAAATAGACTTCCGGCAGATCCAGGAAGCTCAGAGTCCCAAAGAAGTTGGACCCAAGCAAGCACACACCAAGGCACATCATTGCATTACTCAAAATTAAAGATAAAGAGAGGATCTTAAAAGCATCAAGAGAAAGGGAGACAGTTACCTACACAGGGGTTCCCATAAGACTGTCAGCTGATTTCTCAAAAGAAACCTTGCAGGCAAGAAGCAGCTGGCAAGAAATATTCAAAATCATGAAAGGCAAGGACCTACATCCAAGATTCCTCTATCCAGCAAAGCTCTCATTTAGAATGGAATGAGATAAAGTGCTTCCCAGTTAAGATCAAGTTAAAGGAGTTCATCATCACCAAGTGATTATTATATGAAATGTTAATGGAACTTATCTAAGAATGAACAGTAAAATGATAACAAACTCAATTATCAACAACTGAACCTAAAAAAGAAACAAAAACGAACTAAGCAAATAACAAGGAGAACAGAATCACAGAAATGGAGATGAGAGGGGAGAGGGAGCAGGGAGAATGGGGGAAAAGGTACAGGGAATAAGAAGCATAAGTAATAGGTACAAAATAGACAGGCAGAGGTTAAGAACAGTATAGGAAATAGAGGAGCCAAAGATCTCATATATACGACCCATGGACATGAACTGGCAAGGGGGATGCTGGTGGGAGAGGGGGAGTATGGTGGGCAGGAATAAATGGGAGGAAAAGATGGGACAACTGTAATAGCATAATCAATAAAATATATATTGAAAAAAATAATTTTATAATTTTAGCTCTGATATTTAGGCCTATGATCCATTTCAGCTATTTACTTATTTATTTTTTACATGGTGCGAAGGGTTCCCATTTCACTTCTTCCGCACGTGGCTATCCAGCTATTCCAGCACCATTTGTTAAAAAGACTATTCATTTGGTCACCACTGTCTTCATACTTTTTACAAAAAAATCAGCTGACCATAAATGTGAGAGCTTATTTCTGGACTATCAGTTTTATTCCACAGAACTATATATCTATCCTAAATGCCAGTACCACAATGTCTTGAAAACTGTAAATCTGTAGTTTGAAATCAGGAAGTATGTATTTTCTAACTTTATTCTTCTTTTTGGTTTGGTTCTTTGAGTCTCTTGCATTTTCACATGAATTTTGGAATCACCTTGTCAGTTTCAGCAAAGAAGCCAGCTGCAATTTTAATAGACTGGGTGAATCTGCAAAACAATTTGGGGAGCACAGCCACCTTCATAATATTAAGTTTTCCAGTCCATATACATGGGTGTCCTTCCATACATTTAGTTCTTCTCTATTTCTTTCAATAACATTCTGCATTTCTGAGTATAAGTTTTATATAGAGCACAATTTTTTTCAAAGGATGTCTTTCTAGGTCATACTACTTACACACAAAGAACTATGGATTGAGGATCCAGGCTGTAGCTGATTAAAAAGGCCTGGAGAAGGCTAGGACGAAAGTCAGCCAACTCACCTGAAAAGGGTCATATTAAAGTGTGTTTCTTCATAGTTTGTGACACAATTTTTTTTATACCACCAAAGACTCAGAACAGAGGTTTTCATTCTGGCTGCACATTAGAATCACCTCAGAAGCTACATTTCAGACCAATTATATCAGAATGTCATGGGTGGTACCGACTCATCAGTATTTTAAAAAATATGCAGATGAGTGGGAAAACCACTGATTAAAGTATAATCAAGAATTTCAGTGGTATTTTATCATTTTATTTATTTTTTAGTTGTTTATATTTGATCTTATTCTAATAAAGGAATTAATCAGACTGACAATAATATAAAGTAAATTAAAAGTGAGGACACAAAAAAGCAGGGGTGAAAAAAGAAAGGAAAACAAAGGTAAAGACATGGAATGGGACTGAAAATGCACACTATGATAATCTATTCTGTCCACACAAACATGTGGAACAGAATCAATATCATAATACAGTCACAAGTACAAATATTCCTGGCAATTAGGCCAGGGGGATTTGCCCAAGTAGGCTCACAATGAGAGCAGAGGTGATGGTTCTGACTGCGTATGTCCCAGGCTGACCTACATCTAAATTCCTGCCACTCCTAAACTTAGTTTAAAAAGACAACTGAAAGCTAAGCCTTAGGAATCTAAGAGCTTTCAAAATCGGGGGGGTGGGGGGGAAGTCCTATGACAAACTCCTTGTAAGAAGAGCCACCTCAGCCTATAGTTAACAATATTCTGTTCTTCCGTAAAAGCAACGACAGACCAAATAAAACACAAACTCGACGTGTCTTTCTCTTTTTTTAAGTAGAAGAATAGGTAAAATCTCTTTAGAGGACCAGTCCAAACCTGATTAATACCTTCCATCTCCCACCTTGGTAATCCCTGTACCTGAATCTGTTCGTGGCTGGGGTGGTTTCCATGTTAAATTCGGCCACTGGCACTCCCCTAGCGGACACCTGGGGGGCAAACATGGCAGCAGGATAAACCACAGAGGAAGTTCCCACCTACAAGCAAACAGATGGAAACAGACAAATGACCACACTGTGCAGAGAAGAAATATTTTAGCAGAAAATTTCACATAGACCCAGGCAGGTTTGTGGTTGCAGATGTGGGGAAAGCTAAGCTGGATGGGATGAAAGGAGAGCATTTAAGGGGCAAATGGGAAGTTAGGAGGCGCCTTTTTGGCTGATCATTGGAATTCAGAAAGACGTGAAAAGGGGAGTTGTGCAAATGGGGAGTAGCAATGAAATGAATCATCACCTTTTGGAGTTAATTTTATTTTTGTTTCTGCTCTTTGAAGTGATACAAATAATCCATGTTCCTTTTTTTAAGTTAGATAATTCAAAGAAAAAAAACATACATGTCATTCACAATCCTACTACCCTCAAATAACCACTGTTCACACATTTCGATATATGTTCTTTCAGGTTTTTCTCTATGAATATAGATTTATAAACATTCTTTATAAGAATGGGAAGGCCAGCTGGCTTACTTTGTCCACAGCTCACTTTTTCTACCCCTGTTACATTCTAAAATAACTTGTGCTTATATTTAAGTCTTGGATCTGAATTCTTTCTTAGCCAGAACTCAAGTACTAAGATTGCTGGGGGGAAAAAAATGGGAAGACCAGAACATATTTTATAAGCCAGCTTTTCTCACTTAGCCATCTAGCATGAACATTGACCCTATACTCAACTTTGGGATGCACTCAGTAAATACTGGCTGAATGAGTATGCCCCAATGAGAAAGTGCCTCTGTTTTTAAAAGCATGTTAAAGAAAATCTGCAATATGCCTACCCTTTGTCCAATAATTCCACTTCTGGGAAATTTGTCCTAAGGCAGTAATTTAAGTTTGTTAAATTATTTTGTTAAGAGTTATATCTGAGGCTATTCACCATATTGTTGTTTAAAATATGAAAACTTGAAACAGCCTGAATGTCCAACAATAGAGGATTGATTGAAAATATACACCAGAACACCATGCAGCCAATTAAAAGATGATATGCATCTGGATATACTGACATGGAATATGCTAAGAGAATTGCTATATGAATAAAGTAGTTTCAAAACATAACATAGTATGAACCCATTTTCCAATTTTATTTTTTTAAATTTTAAAATTACAGCTTACTTCAATATTATTTTGTATTGGTTTCAGATGTATAGCATAGTGGTTACAAAATCACATACTTTACGAAATGTTCTCCCGAGTGTTTCCAGCACCCGCCTGGCACCACACACAGTTATTACAATATATTATTGACTATGTTCCCTATGTTGCACTTTACATCTCCTATTTTGTAATTATTAATTAGTACTTCTCAACCCCTTCACCTTTTTTACCTAGCCCCCCACTCCACCTCCTCTCTGATTATCACCAGACCACTCTCTGTGGCTGAGTCTGTTTCAATTTTGTTTGTTTATTTTGTTCTTTCAATTCCACATATAAGTGATATCATGTGGTATTTGTCTTTGACTGACTTATGTCACTGAGCATGATACTCTCTAGGTCCATCCGTGCTGCCGCAAATAGTTCTTTTTTTGGCTGAGTAATATTCCATTGTACATTTGTACCACAGCTTTTCTAATCCACTCATCTATTGTTGGGCACACAGGTTGCTTCCATAACTTGGCTATTATAAATAACACTGCAATGAACATAGGGGTGCATATAGTCTTTTTAAATTAGTATTTTGGGAGTATGAACCCATTTTTTTGAATTTTAATCAACATGTGCACATCTGCCTAAGGAAAGGTCTAGACCAGGAGTGGACAAGCTTTTTCTGTAAAAGGCCAAATAGTGTGCATTTTTTAGGCTTATCAGGCCATATGGTCTCTGCCACAAACATTCAACTCTGCCATTGTAGTATGAAAGTTGCCATGAACTATACATAGAAGAAGGAGCATGGCTGTGTTCCAATAAAAGTTTACTTTCAAAAAGAGGTGGCAGGTCAGATTTGGCCCATAGGCCACTGTCTGCTCATGCCTGGTCTAGAAGAAAACATACTAAAAGGCTAACACATTATTCTTGGATGGTAGAATTATCAGTGATTTCTAATTTCCTCTTTTTGTATTTTCTCAATGAAATTTAATAATGAGCATGTATTATTTTTAAAATCAGAACCAATGACATGCTCTTTTTATGATTTTTTTTGGTCGGGGAGAAGGCTTTAAGAAGCCCAAGGCATGGTCTTGTATAGTTTTGTATTTTAAGATCAATTCTTATTCACTGTTTCTTAGTTTTTCTCTAGGATACCACAAGGCCTCTCAAAACACATCAAAAGGGAAGGGAGGGAGGGAGGGAACAATCTCCACCCTAGTCCTGGTATTTCAGAAAATCCCCACCATCAGGGAAGGACATGACCTACCACTAGACATAAGTCACAGAGGGCCAGCTCTCTGTCAACCTCTTCCAGAACGGCAGGGTCCAGGTTTTCTCCAAACCACACTACGTGAGGTCGCAGCAGGCCCCCGCACCCTGTCTCTTCACACCTGTAAAGAACATTCTCTTTCACAAACATTCAACTCTGTCATTGTAGTATGAAAGTTGCCATGAACTATACATAGAAGAAGGAGCATGGCTGTGTTCCAATAAAACTTTATTTTCAAAAAGAGGTGGCAGGTCAGATTTGGCTCATAGGCCACTGTCTGCTCATGCCTGGTCTAGAAGAACACATACTAAAACCCTGAGCCTTGCCAGAAGGTCTGCCCAGGTGGATCAGAGTAGGGCCAGGGCTGCCCCAAATCCAGTCTGTCCAGATAGGTCACCTCTGCTCCTCCTGATAGTCATCCTGCTCTTCCAGCCCACAGGAACTTGTCCTGAATACAAAATACTAACTTTAACTGCCTTATAAAGTTTTTACTTTGTCTGGATGCACTGGGTTGTTTTGGCGACAAATATGTTTCAGCCTGACCTTCTTATTCTTCAAGTTTTCCCTTTCCCAGTGACTTTATCACGCTCAAGAGCACTACTGTGCTCAGCTACCCAGACCTGGGAGGAACACCGGACTCAGATTTGCCTCTAACACTTCAACTGCCCCCTAATTTCATCAGCTACCTCCTTTCATTTTCTCCAAGATTCACCTCCCTCTCACCCTGTGTATAGCCAAGTTTTCCAGGGTAAATTACTAAAAATTTCTCATCATTTACTCCATACTATCTCTTAATACTTTATATGTACCTTCTAAAATAATCTCCCCTAGCCCTGGCTGGTGTGGCTCAGTGGACTGAGCGCTGGCCTGCAGACCAAAAGGTAGCCAGTTCAATTCCTGGTCAGGGCACATGCTTGGGTTGTGGGCCAGGTCCAGAGGTAGGGGCATGCGAGAGGCAACTGATCAGTGTATCTCTCTTGCATTGATATCTCTCTCCCTCTCCTTCTCCCCCCCCCCACCTAAAAATAGATAAATACAATATTTAAAAAATAATAAAATAAAATAATTTCCCCCAGCATCATTTTCAACATATTAATGTCCTACTCAGGAACCCTCCAGAATTCCCTGTTCTTTCATATTAAAACTTTAGCATTTAGTAATGAAAACCCTTATTAAGAAAAATAAAAAGGGTTCTGTGGTTAAATAAACCAGTGAATTATTAACATATTATAACCACTTTTTAGAGAGTAACAATGTACTTTGGCAAATGAAATGCTGCCATAAGTCCTACAGTAAAGCAAATATATTTTAACTTGTTTAATGTAGTGTCATCTGAGCACACAATATCTTTTTTCAAGCACTGCCTATGAATATCACATGGATCTAGTGCTGTCTGAAATTCTTTTGGAAGTGCTATTTTAATATCTGGTTTTTAAAAACTGATGTAAAAATCTTTCTAGTTTTTTCTTAATCTACAAAAATTATGCTTGGTTCTATAATTTCATCTTTGCAAGACCTTTTACTGCCTCCATAAACCTGGATTAATAATACAGATGGCAATGAAGAAGTTGAAGATGATAGTAACTAAGGTTTACTGATCAGTTACAGGACGCCAGCCTCTATGCTTTATATACACTGGATAAGCATCTGTAACATAACAGTTTCGGAGACTCTCCAGGCCCCAAATTGTCCTGCAGTAACACAAAGCAAAAGGGACTGGACAGCAGCAGTTCCCTTTACCCTGGTTTGGTTCCTCCTCTGTACCTCTGCCCTTGGCCTCATAGATCAGGGCTGGGGTTTTTTTCCATTGGAGAATTAAGAGACATCTCACCAAATGATCTTAGATTTTGACTCTTAATTTTCCTTTTTTGTAACCTGGAACACCAAATACAGGTGAAAGATTTTTACCCACCGGGGAAGTTTCTCAACTGGGATTCTGGCATCTTGTGCTTCAGGTTCTGGAGCACTAAAGTAAACAATATTAGAAAAGAGAAATGTCATTGGTATAATCAAGGAACAAAGAAATAACATAACCTGCTGTGTGTGTATATTTGCCTGGCAGGATATGGTGCAAAACTCCTAATTAATACATGCAGTATTCAAAGAATAGACATCAAGTAATCACCAGTGGTTTTACCTCAAAAGGGAATTTGTATGGGGAGAGCCAGAAGTGCCAAGGGGGAGTTTCATGATTTGCATTGTATATGGTAAAATTTGAATCTTCTTCAGTGATGTTATATTAAGATATTCCTTGTACAATTTATACTGATTTAAAATGGTCAAGTAGAATTTTTCTCAATACTCTGAGTCTACTCTTAATTTCTTTCCTTATTTACCATCATAGCACACATTCATCAGAAAAATGTTAGAAAATTTTAAAAAATATATAAAAAAGAAACCAGAATTATCCCACCAGTCCTGAAAATCACTGTAATTTTCTTTAGGTCTTCCATACATGGAAACATCAACATGGGGAGTGTGTGTGTGTGTGTGTGTGTGTTTAAATACAGGCTTGGGATCATATTGTATAGAGTTAGATCCTGTGGTTTTCACTTAACATTGTAAATTGCGAGCCAAATATTTCTTTCATAATATGCTATAATGTATTTGGTCATATCTCTCATAATTACCATGCAAATCTTAGATTAATATATGATTTCCTCATATTTATGTTCAATTTAAAAGAGAAAACAACATACAATTATTCTGTAGTGCTGCATAATTACCCTTTTCCTGATAAAGCTGCACAAATTGGACTGTTGTAATTCTCAGCCACAACTCTGCAAGAGGTACATCGAGTTTTAAATATGCTACCTGAAAAACACAAGTTAGCCAGACCAGAAATCATATCATCAAGAGCAATTGTCTCCATTTCCAAAAGAGTACAAAATAATTTAGTTTTTATATGTTCATTTTAGCAAACGGGCCTATTCTAGTTATCACAGGAAATGTGAAGGCATGCAGTACTATTGAACAAACGCAGAGCATCTGCCCTCCAAGACTTTCTAATCTGGAGGGAAGAGGGACAGATGAAACAATGTCCTCCATGACGAAGGAGTTCTCAGATTACTTGGAGTGACGTTCAGGTGGAACTGAACTGGTCTACAGGGTAGATGAAACCAACCAAACTTAAGGGCATGATTTATTAAGTGCATGATTGATAAAGGTTCAGTAGCTTGCGATGTGTTTACAAGTCTTAATTTCAATTTAATAAAGCTTGAATCTTTTATCTAAAACCAGATCAATCAATCAATAATCAACTGATAAATGAAGAAAATAACTTGAAACTAGTAACCATTTATTGAGCTAACCCAGTAATGGTGACTACTATTCACCGTTTGTTCACCATGTGCCCAGTGTTGTGCTGAGCATGTCACATACTGTGGTGGACACATGTTGTTCCATTCTCTCCAGTGTCCCTTAACTGAGGGATCACTTCTCCTATATCCCACTATCCCATGCCGAGCTGCTGGAGCTGTCAATTACATCCTAAAATACAAGCTTGGGCACAAGTTCCAGGCTAGTCCAATCATAGCAGCCTAGTACTCTAACGGTAGTGTTCGGTCAAAAAGGAGTAAGTGACCCAGGCAAGGTCACGCAGAGGTTTATCTTCTGAGGAGAGAGCTAAGCTGGAGTGAGCCTGGAGCCACCGGACACCACCGTTGCTGGTGCATGGAGATGATCAACTGCAGAGGGAAATGTGAACTAGCTCAAAGTCAACAAAGCGAGGGAAGGAGGCAGAGAGGCAGGGAGAGCAAGACTGGGAGCTGCTACTGATGACATCAGCTCCACCCCCCGGGCTCCTCAGGTTTGTGAACCAACATACCTACTTCGTCAGTTTTAGCATGACCCCTTTTCCCCATATTAAATTAACATCTCTGAAATTCAGGTGTGTCTTGCAACTGCTACCGGCCACACGACGGGTGTGACGCAGCTGCCATAGCCAGCACTTGCACAGGCTTGTTGAAGGCTAACGCCAATGACTGATACACGTGGTGACTTGCTAATCTCGGTGTCCTGACTGGACAAAGGCAGCCCCTGCATGCTTCTGCCAACAAACCCCGTAAGGGCCATTTGGGGAAGGAAAAAACTGAGTCTTGGTTGTCTAGAACCCTTCCACTGACACCTTTCTAGTAAGATCAAGAAAGGCCCGATATCAAATCTGCAGAACGTATGTCAGCAGCCTGGAGAAGAAGCCCAGAGGGGAGAGAGGAGCATCCTTTTAGGAAAAGCTGCATCACAGGTCTGCTTGATGGCACAGAGCACTACAGTGCATGGCAAACACAGTCACTGGTGCCTCGGAGTCATTCACAGGTAATGCAGAAGAAATATCTTAACCACTTGATTTCATCCATATGTTGTCTTTTATATGTGTGACAGTGACAGCTTCTAAAAATGTGTATCTAAGGAATTTTTAACAAGTCCTTCCTATAAGTATAAAATAGCAATTTTAAAGGGTACTAGAATAAGATAACATGGTTTGGACAGATTATTTTCTAAGTATCACATTAAAAACATGATGCATCTTAAAATTGATGGCATTTTCAATTTGATGAAAGAAAGGGCTTCCTTTTATTTTTGCCTAAATTAGAAGAGTTCTCATCATTTGAAACGAAAAAAGTCCCAACAAATACGCATATGTGTATTATCTTATCCTTAAAATAACTGGATAAGAGAGGTGTTACCCCCATTTTATACACTCTTTATGGCAAGTGACACAGCCTACATTCTGACACTGGAGATAAATGAGAAAGGCCATGATGAAACACCATCCCAGATCCAGCAGAAAAGAGACACTTAGTTAGTAGGTGGCTAAGGCTGCTGGGGCACAAGAGAGACATGGGATCCAAGCAAACAGTGCTCAGCTCTGATTATCAGGATGACCACAGCCTAGGCAAAAGCGGGCCACTTCACAGCAAACACACAGAAGAAATGTTCCCCACTGGGTCACTGTTTCTGGAGATTCCACAATTAGAAATGCATTCCTTGGGATTGAATTTTATAGACTCTTACATGCAAATGTCCTTGGGGAATAAAAAAACCGTTGCATGCCCATTTATGCTCTTGTATGATGGATTTTCTAGATTTCAGGTAAGAGCGAAGAGAAAAGGGAATTAAGAGGACAAGAGGGAAACGGGGGTTGTCATTAGGGCAGAGAAGGGAAGCCTAAGGGACCTAAGACAAAACCCATGTGTGTCACTGCTTGATACAGTAAAGGTTACCGAGCTGGCAGCTCCTTAAAGGCTGGAGAGCTTAGCAGAAGCACAGCCTCTGGGGACAGTGCCAACTGGGAGACAAAGGGAAAGTAAATAGATACCCCCAGGAATGCAAAGGTTCTCTTTTGCCAGATCCGTTAAAGGAATAGCTGTTCAATGGCCCACAACTCCTGGCTCCCTTCAGCCCAGCTGGGCAGTTGTCTCTGCCCACAATCCCCTCAATGCAACTCCTCAGGGAAGGGAGTGCATGCAGCTGCGCAGACCAGCGCTTTTCTGGTGTCACATGTGCACGCCAGACACCTGGGCATCTTGTCAAAATGCAGATTCTGTTTTAGTGAGTCCAGGTGGGAAATGGCAGGACATGTGTTTTATTTTAGTTTTTTAAAACTGATTTGAGAGAGACAGGGATAGAGAGACATCGATTTGTTGCTCCATTCATCTGTACATTCCTTGGTGGCTTCTTGTATGTGCTCTGACCCAAGATCAAACCCACCACCTTGGTATAGGGGGGCAACCCTCCAACCAACTGAGCTACCCGGTCAGAGCAGGACATGTGTTTTAAAGTCTGGTTCCCTCCCCATCTGAGGCTGAGGGTCCTCACCATGAATTTCCAGAAGATTCTTGGTGCCAGCCTTGCGGTGCAGCTCATCAATGTTTTGGGTGATGACTGCAACCCGGCGGCCCTGCCCACGGAGCCGGGCTTCACACTTGGCGATGGCGAGGTGCCCAGGGTTTGGCTCTACGCGCTGTATGACTTCCCGCCGGTAGTGGTAGAACTCCCACACTAGGGACGGGTTTTGGGCAAAGGCCTCAGGAGTGGCCAGGACCTGGGGGTAAGAGAGGAGGGAAGAGTCAGGGAGCAAAAGAGGCGCCAAAGCTCTGGTACCCAGGAAGCGGGGGTGGCGGCTGCAGTGACAGGCAGTTACGGAGACACTCGCAGGCCCCTTTTTCTCTATGACAGAGACAGGCAGCTTTGGGAGGGTGCAAGCTGGGCCTGCCTGCTGCAGGGTCACGCGCTGTGGCAGACATGGGGCGGGAGCCTGGGCTGCAGCCCGTGTCCCAGTCCTGAGACTAACAAGAGACCTTGGAGAAATCGGTTTTAATTTCCCCAATTATAACTCAGGGAAAATGCAACCTGTCCCATTTACCACTCAAGTCAGTCATGAACATGAAGTAAAGTAATATGCAGGAAGGTAATTTAGGCTGGAGCTCCAAAATATGTGAAGTCAGTATCATTTGTCCAGGAAAAAAGGGAAATGTAAAATGCCCAAAGGAGGCATATTGGCCACAGTTGAGAAACTCAGTTTTTATAACTGTCATTACAGCTACACACTCACCATATGTATTATATCAACAAAATACATAAAAATAGGTGTTTTATAGTGCTATTCCTCTTCTAGGACAGCCAAATCTCATCTATGGTGAACAGAGAAGTAGCCATCTCAGGCTGGAAGCTGACGGGAAAGGGCATAAGGAAACCTTTATCAATGACAAAAATATTCTCTATCTTGATTGTGGCAGTATTATGCATTTTTTTTTTTTTTTTTTTTTTTTTTAGTGTAAAGGTCCCCATCTACCTGTCAGTCATGGGGAGAAGATCTTCTGTGCTGTGGATTATTCATGTCAACCCTGTACTTCCTTCCTTCCTGCCTTCTACTTATAGTACAAGTGGCCTGAGCAGTTTAGAGATAGCATGACCCCTAATATACAGAGCTGGCCAAAAATAGGTTTACAGTAATAAATAAATAAATAATAAAAGAATAACCTGTGTTTCGCATACTCACAACTATAAACCTACTTTTGCCCACCCTGTGTGTGTTGTGGGAACACAGAGGGAGTCAAACATACTGTACTGACTCCTTGGCTTCCCCACAAACTCTGAGCTGCTCTGGCAGGATGGAGGCCTCTCTCTAAGCTCCTCGTCACACCTCTGCCCACCCCCTGCTTCTTTAATTCAGGGACTGCTCTCTGTGGCTCCTCTTTCTTGTGGGACCCTAAGGGTCCTCTGCTCTTTCTTCCCCCACCTTCATCTTTAAGGTGATGATCCCCTTGTCTATGTCCCCAGGCCTCACCTGGAGGGCAGTGGAAAAGTGAAAATACATCCTAAATATTTGCCATACAGAGACCTTTAATACAGGAAAAAAGGGCAGGTTCATTAACCCTTCATGCAAGAAATTAACTACTAAATTTAGAAGTCACCTATTGAAGTAATTATGTATGTTTGTCTTCATTCAACTAACAAAAATTTATTAAGCACCTATTTTGTTCCAGAATTCTGGAAGCTGGGGATGGAGCAATGAATAAAACAGACAAAATCCCCTACCCTCCAAAACTAGGGATTTCCTGGGGGAGGGTAGGAGACTGACCACAAAGGGCCTGAGGGAGTAACCTGGGGCACAGAAATGTTCCACACTGGATGTGGTGCTGGCTACGCTATGCATGTTTGTAAAAAGTCATTCAATTGTGCACTTAAAACTGGTGAGTTTTACTGTATGGATAATATACCTCAGTAAAAACTCTATTTCTTTAAACTTACATTCTAATGACCTTCATATAAAGTTTTGAATATCAAGCTGTAGGCTTTCAATAATTCAGCTTCAGTTTTAATGTGAAACAGTCACAGAAACTTTAAAAATATGTAATACTTAATCGCAATATCTATAGTAATGACTCATGCTAACCAAGGTTTTCTGATTCCACTTGAATTACTAGAAGAATCTGATTGTTATCTGAATAAATGCAATCTATACATACCGAGAAAGTAAGGGACATGGCAGCTTTGCTTAAATGTCAGATCTTAATCATATGGATGTTGCATTGACACCAAAAAGAACAGGACAAGGGTCATAAGTTAATTTGAAAACTTTGCTCTCTGGGTTTCAGGTATTAGTACACGTTCTAAGTCAAACTGTGTTATGATTTCATTCAGAAGAGTCTCTTAATATTCTGGAAACACTACTAACCTGAGATTGCCACTTTCTCCAATAACCTCCGGCCCCTCTGAAAGTCGGAATCCCACTCTCAGCGCTAATGCCAGCCCCTGAAATGACGACTATGTGCTTGGCTTTTGCAAAACACTTCCGAAACTCAGCCATATCTAAAGAGAGAATAAAACTTTATCAATCCAGTGCATCATTTAGATATTTATATCCATATCAATGGTCTGCCTAGGTTTCCCCTGCTAGCTGAAAGTAGAGTGTTTCTATGAAACCCTGCATAAAGTGAAGAAGTAACTGTCTCAGGACACATTTTGCTAACAGATGCACACAGTAAATGGAGAGAAAGCACAGATGCTCAAAGACAGAGTTCAAAGCTATGTCGCTTGGTGCTGAATGTAGTTCCAGAGAAAGCTTGGCAGGGCCGTCTAGCTGCTGCTCGGTGTGTGCTATCTCTATAACTCGCTGCAAAATAAATGCTGAATGCTTTTTGTTTTTCACCTTGTTACATAAATGCAGAAATCCTCTAGATTTCCTTTGGTTAGCAAAAACAGATACCGATACAGGTTTTTTGTAATAGCGAAGTGGTATAGAGCAAACTTTTGAAAAGCAGGAGGTACCTATATTCTGAAACTTGACCTTGAGTGAAATTGTACTTTAAGATACCCAAATATAACTATTCCTGCACTGTGAAGATGCCACTGTGCCCTTGATGTGTGAATGTACAACACCTTAAGAAAGAAGCAGGGCCTTCAGGCACACAGCACTGGCTCTGAATCTCATCTCTGCCTCCATCCGTGTGCGTGGTCATTTGGGAACTCCTGCCCTTCTGCGCTTCTGGGCTCCCTTGGCAATATGACCTGCAGAGGAGTGTCTTCCCTAGAGCAGCACTCGTATAAAGATTAAAAGAGGCTAATGGATGAGAATGCATCTTCCTTCATGAAAGTAAAGACAACTGTTTTTGTGTGCATGTGTGTGTATGTGTGGATCGTCCTCAGGCCCACTGGACCCTAAGGTGGAGTTTACCCCTGAAACAAATGTCCCCATCCCAGACTTGGAAGTGTCACTGTTCCTCTTGGGTGGCAGAGATTTAGGTCAGGGCCCAGCATACGGCTCAGAGCAACACCCTCTCCGACCCTGTGGCTCTGCAGCCCTGGGTGAGGGGTAAGTGCGTGCTGTGGCTACAGCAGGCCAGGTACAAGCTGCAGAGAGCTAAGCATACGCTTCAGGGAGAAGAGAGGCTCCCTCTCAGTCCTCCGCTGGAGAAGCAAGTGCCAGACCAGCACTGCCTGTGGCTGGCCTGGGCCACTGAAGCAGGCATCTGTGAGGAGTGGCCAGGCTGTGCTAAAGCACTGAAAAGTTCAGCAAAAATGGACGTACATTCCATTGCTGATGGAGCAGGCTTTCTGGTCTTCCACCCTGGAGGCAACAGGGACCAAGTTTAACCCTTGGACTGAATGAGTGCACCCTAAGAGATGGAACCAGTGACAGGCAGGATTGAGGAAAGGGAGAAAGATACTGGGGTGAGGGCTCATAGTTGCATGTTAAAGGAATGTGACTTCATTTTGTATCTCAAGCTGGTAAAAAGGATCCTATTGGTTTCTCATACTTGTTGGCTCCGTCTAGGCAAGGGCAGCATTTCCTTGCCCTCCTACTCCCAGGTCCACCTGTATGGCCCATGCAGGTTAGAGAATTTCATAAAAGACTCCATCTTCCCTCCCTTTCCCTTCCTCTCTGACTACTGGGAAGATTGAACAGACAGTCAAAACAGGCTCTCAGAAACAAAGAAGCAGAGGCTCCAGCTCCCTTTCGGCCACATTCCTGGAGCTCTCTAGGATCGCTTTTCTGCAGCAAGGCTCAAAGGAATAAAGGTGGTTCAGGCACCCTTTTGCCTTTTGGTATAACCAGCCAACTACCTGCTGGCCATTCTAACACTGCCTACACTCACATCCCTTTCAGAAATGGACTGGTGTGAAAAATAAGGTACACTTATGCTGTCTAACTAGGGAGATTTCTGAAAAAGAAACCCAGTCTGATCTACCCCCTGAAAGAACAAGATGCTAAATAAGAAAATATACAAATAATTTTCTAGGAACTAGTTATATGACTCCTGGATTGAAACCCTACAGACATCCTTAGGGACCTTAGGGGAAAGTTCCCCTGCTCTAAGGGTGTTTTCTACCCCAATTGTAAAGTCTGATGAATAGATTCCCAGATCAGAGTGACTTTTATTAAGATACCACTTTAAGTAACTTCTAGAAACAAAAGAGTCAACTCAGGTTTCATTCTTGGAAAACAGGAAATAATCATGTAACAGTGTTAAAGCTGTGTGAAATCTTATTTTAAAAAAACATTTCCTAACTGCTAAAGAAAAACACACCAGAATGTTTTGCATTTTCAGACCCAGGTGGCCCACTTTTGTCAAGCACATGCTTCTGGGTGCCTCCACAGCCTCTGGCAGCCTGTCCTACACAGCTGTGAACATCAAGGGGCTGGGTGGCTGAGTAGAACTGGGTTCTTTGGGTTCTCTATTGTTCCTGAGATTGAGCAAAATGGGAGGAAGTGTTATTACAATTCAGCATACTCACAGTAGTAGAAAAAGTTATCCGAAAGTTAAAAATGAGGCAAGAAGAGTTCAGCATGGACTTTCAATGCCACACTGAAGCACAGTTTAACAGGCCCACCTAAGGATCATCTGTTATATAAATCTGTTAAACTCTATCATTTCTGTCCAGTAAAAAGTTGAACCCCATATTACCCTGTAGGGCAATCACCAGCTTGTCTCCCCTGCAGAGAGGGGTTTAAAACACAAATCATGTGTGAAAGGCTTAAATGCAAATATTCTGGGAGAAGCAACAAAATGCCCTAAACAGACCTACCTTGACTATTAAGAGATCATCTCTGACCTGTCCTGAAAGGGACTTGTCTAAGGAGAAAATGACAGAGTGGCCTTCTCCAAAATCTTGCCCAGCACCCACTTCAATATTAAACATTCCCCATCAAAGTGTAGGAATTTTCAGGTACTGCAAATGAGGAGATGACAGGCTAAGAAAGACCTACCTGAACTTGGACGAGCCATCATTAGGCGTATCTTGGTTCCTGTGGCAGCTGGAGATTTCAATCCACAATACAGTTGGGAGATTAATCGGCTGGGGACAATCTGGAGAGGTCCCATCGGGTTTCCTTAGAGTACTAGTTCTTGAGATGGGCTTTAGAAAAATCACAAAAACAAACAGAAACAATCAGAAAATACTTGTACTTCACAAATATATATTTATATTTATATTTATATTTATATAAAAGTAAGAATGCCCTTAAAAATCTTTAGCGTCAGATCTTCGTGGCGGTCAGTCTCTGAACCAGCTGTTTCCAATTTGTTCTCAAGAGCTCCTCAGTGCCCTGGCGCAGTGGATCTCACGTTGTCCCTAGACCAGCAGCAACAGCATCACCTGAGATCTTGTCAGAAATGCAAAGTCATGGGCTCCACCCTGGGGCCCATGCATCAGACACTTGGGGTGGGGCCCGCCTCTGTGTCCAGGTGATTCTGATGAATGCTTAAGTTGGAGAACCACTGCCTTAGAGGTCGGAGATGGGGTTAGATATGAGAAATCATTTGAAAAATGGGCTCCCTGCTTTTAAAAATGTGTGAAAACCATAGACCTCTATGAGAACGTAAATTCTGAGATTTTAATTAAGCGGGAAAGATGTTTCATTATGACAAATAGGATAAAGATGACATCATGTCAAAATAACTTGCTGTTTTAATCCTCTCCCAAGGACATAATTATTTATTTTAGAGTGGGAGGAAGGTAGGGAGAGGGAAGGAGGGAAACATCGATGTGAGAGCAAAACATTGGTCGAGTTGCCTTTCATTTGCACCCCAACTGGGGACAAAACATACAACCTAGGTATGTGCTCTGACTGGGAATCCAATCCGCAACACTTTGGTTTAGGGGACAATGCTCAAACCAACTGAGCCACACTGGTCAGGGCAAAAACTTGTGTCTTAAAGCACAGTTAGTAAATCTTTATCTATTCCTGAGGAATTTATAAAAGAAAAGGAGACATAGAAAAAGACACTATTTGGATAAATGACATCAAAGTGGTAATTGGCAGAGCTGACTTCTATCTAGTGGGTCAAATTGTTAGAAAAACTCAGGATTAAAGATTTGTGGATACAATAGAAAAATAACATATTTCCTAAAACTTTACAATTCCTTTGGAGAACAACCTATTAAAATTACAAATTCATTTTCCCTTTGACCTAGCAATCCCAAGTTTGCACATTTTTACAATAGTCAGACTTACACACATCCAAAATGACATATCTACAGAGTTGTTCTTTAGATCATTGTGATTAACAGCAAGAGACTAGAAACAACCTCAATGACCATCTGCAGGGGACAGGTTCAACAAACAATGGCATTCATAATATGCAACATGGCTGCTACATAAATGAACATACGTATGATTGTACTCACACGATATTCTGGAATAGACAAAACTATGGGGACAGAAAACCTATCAGCGATTGCCCGAGCAGGGAGGAGTGAATACACAAAGGGCCATGAGAGGTTTTTCAGATAATGGAATTGTTTTATATTTTGACTACGGTGATAGTTACATGATTGTGTCCGTCAAAACCCACAGAACTCAACACTAAAAAAGGGTTAATTTTACTGTATGTAAACTATAAAATAGTTTTAAAATTAAAAAATGTGTATAAAATTTCAGTTTTGCAAGATAAAGAGGCATGGGTTGTACAACACAGATGTACTTAACAATACTAAACTGTATCCTTAAAAATAATTAAGGTGGTAAATTTTATGTGTATTTAAAAGAATGAAATGAACAAAGTCTAACTAAATGTGATTTGTTGGTTGATTCAGTGTTTATAAGCAGACAGCTTGTTAGCTACAGAAGTGAGTGTTGGTATCAGTAGAGCAGAAGATAGTCACAGGGGTTAAAAATAAATGTCTGGAAGATGAGGCTCAAAAACATGTTAGTGCCAAATCAGATTCTTTAATGCCATAGTCATTCCAACATTCAGATTTCAAATGTTAAAACAAACAAACAACAAAAAAACAGAGAATATTCTCTCTAATCAGATAGAGATCTCCAAAATATAATGTCATGGGGGAAAAGTCAGAGACAAATGTTGTTGTGTGTGAGAAAGGGAAGGAGATATGAGTATACACAATAGTACTTATTTCCATTTATGATTTTCTTTTAATGGAAGAATTCCCAAGAAATTAGTAAAGAAGAATTGGGGGGTGGAATGGGATATATGGGATGCATGGAGACAAGAGTGGAAGCAAGGATTTTCAATGTATGTGCTTATAGGTTGTTTGCATTGTCAATGCTCTGCAGCGGGAGACCAGGAACACACTTGAAGTTGAGCAGCTGCAGGGGGAGAAGCAGCCACGAGGAATTGCAGTGCATACCAGCAACAGTGTTAGAAAGGATCTCCTATAGGGGTTGAGCTTGTGTTAGCTGAGGTTGGGGAGGGTTCAAGGAACTGAGTCTTTATTCTGGAGTGGATGCTGTCAGGAAACAGGATACCTTGACTGAATGCTTTAGTGAATCTTATCTGAAAGGTGAAAAGCATTGAAGTGAGGCTAGAGCTGTGATTAGTCAATAAACAGCAAGCCCTGGTATTAGCCAGGACAGGAGGATGTTTTGTTATTTTTGTGGTTAAGACATGTTCTTGTTTTTTATCTAGCTTTAGACCTATTATGCAGTTGTCTTATTTTTGTCCCAATTCACCATGGTCATAGGGTAGCTTTGTCTGATGTTGGTGTTTTATGAAATTATTTATGTTCAGAAGAACATCAAGGCCTATCAGACAGTGTCAGCCCAAAAACTGGAAGCAAATCAAATGTCTAGCAGCTTATAAATGGGTAAACAAAATGTGGTCCATCAATACAATGAAATACTGTTCAGCAATAAAAAGAATAAACTGCTAATACGTAAAACAACATGGATGAATTTTTAAAGTAGCAGGCAAAATCAAATAAATAAATAAAGTATTATGCAATCGTAACCTACTGTGGAAAGATCTGGCAGACTGCCTTAACCAAACAGTCAGTTAATCCCTGGCAATAAGCATACTAACTTCGCGTAACTCCTGATAAGATGCAATAAGAAGGGCAAAATATCACTTGCAGCTTCCCCCGCCCCCCAAAACGCATTAGCTCAATTTAATTATAAGAAAACATCAGACAAATCCCAATCGAGGGGACATTCTATAGCAAAATCTGCTCTTCAAAAAAGCTATCAAGGTTATGAAAGATAAAGACCAGGGACTTGTCCCAGGTTGGAGACTAAACAGAAGGGACAACTAAATGCTGTGTGAAATCCTCGACTGGATTCAAGATGGGAAAAGGATAACTGGGGGGAGAACTGGCAAAAAGTGAAGTCGGCAAATTAGTGACTAGTACTGTACCACTGTAAATATCCTAGATCAGATCATTCTACTCTAATTACTTCAGATGTTAACTTTAGAAGAAATTGGGCAAATAGTAGATGGAAACTCTGTGCGCTATGTATGTAACATTTCTGTAAACCTAAAAATATTTCAAAACAAAGTTTTCCTGAAAGAAAGAGAGGAAGGAAGGAAAGAAGGAAGGGAGGGAGGGAGGGAGGGAGAGAAGGAGGAAAGCATTATGCTAAGTGAAAGAAGCCAGGCCCCAAAAAGGCTACATACTGTTTGAGACCATTTACATGGTATTATGAAAGGGCAAAACGGTAGGTAAAGAAATCATAGCCATGGTTTCCAGAGACTGGGGGAGGGAGGGCCTAGAACTTTCTTAAAGCAATGAAAAATTCTATATCTACTTTGTAATGAGTTTTCAAAACTCATAGAACTTTATAATCAAAAAGGGCAAATTTTACAGTATATACATTAACTGTACTTCAATAAACCCTACTTAAACACAAAAAGCAAGCATATCAACACATATTCATCATAACCTGTCTCTGCTGTAATAAAAAAAAACTGGGCAAGAAGCTTGCAATACTGAAAAAGAGAAAAATGGTGTAGTGTTGGTTTCCAGAACATCTCAGAGGACGAGCCCTTCTGGCTGCCTGGAGTCACTTCCTCAGAGAATGCAGGTCAGAGCCAAAGAGAGCACCAAAACAGGCCCCTGGCTGAAGGGGTGCCAGAGGGAGGCGGTAGGCAGACCCAGAGGCCCCGCAGCCCAGGAGAGCCACTCTGGGGAGCAGCTTGTAGACTCTAGCACTGGGAATTCCGACTGCCGTGAAAATCATCCCAATGTTTTATTTAAAGGAAGCGTGGGGAGTAGCTTGGCATGATTTCCAACCAGCATGGGCATGATTATTTGGAATACCTCAGTAATGGACAAGTGAGGATTACTATAGTTTATTTTTTTAATTATGAAATTTAAACATATATGAAAAGAGAAGTTATTTTCCCATCACTTGGCTTCAATAACTATCAAGAAAAGGGCTTTTTCTCTGATCCATTTGAGGTTTTAAGATATTGTCATAGACAGTATTGTTAAACTTGCACATCTTGAGAGCTGTGAAGATTAAAGCACCCAATACTGTCTAACTTTACTAAAAGCTCCTTACATGTTGCATAGTTACTTATGCTATCATTTTGAGCTTACTGTATTATCTTTAGTTATTTCTCTCAAAGATGAAGTTGTGTGAGTCCACTGTTGCTTTCTAATATTTTAATTTGGACACATCAATTAGATCTGGAAAATTCTTTTCTTCTGTCATTAAAAATAATTTTTAAATGTTGGTTGATTTTAGGGCAAGGAGAAGGGGCAGAGTGAGAAAAATCAACGTGAAAGAGAAACACTGCTCAGTTGCCTCCCATATGCATCCTGACCAAGAATTGAATCTGCAACATAGGTATGTGCCCCGACCAGAACTGAACCCCCGCTTTTTGGTGTATGGAACAACATTCCAACAAACTGAGCCACACCAGCCACGGCTTCTGTTAATTTTAAATGTTAGCAAACCTTCACATTTATTATCAAAGAATTCTGACTAACTCCCAAATAAACTGTCATATTTTTTCTCAGACATGAAGGTAGGATTTCAAAAGTCATTAAGAATTTAAAAGAACTTAAAGATTTAAAATCCAGTCAACAGAAGTATGGATGAAAAAGGGGTTCTAGGAAAGTAACCTCACGGGGTGATCTGATCATAAATCTCTAACTGGCAGGTCATGGCCAGCGGTCACACTGCAGGCATATAACTTTTTAGCACAAGGTTTATCTATGCCTTAAGTAAGCTCTGTCCACTGTTTTTGTGCATCTAGGCTAACACACCTTTGAAGTAAGCACCTAACCACCGTCTAGCAAGCACATAATCTTGTTCATGTAATCCTCCTTAGTTCCCTCCTAATTTCAACGCGTAAAAGAAACTGCAAAACTCATTCTCTGGAGCATGAGAACTTGCTTTCTGGCAATGCCATCAATTTGGGCTCAAATAAATTCTTAGAAAAACTAACTCCAGGTTTCGCCACTCTTATGTCGACAGAGGAAGCAACACACAGCAGCTGACTATGCTGGTATACATATAGCTGTTCTACATGAGTATCTAAAAGATTGGTCTTCTGCTGGATAGCTGTGAAATGAAGGCAAAACATTCTTTTCTAAACGTGAGTGTTGAATTTGTTGCTAATTATAAAGAGTTGTCAAATGTTTGAGAATATCTGGACAACTTAAGGAATGAAATAGTAAGAAATTTTTAATTGTAGGACTGACAAGATTAGGGCTTGTACTATCTGGGTAAAATGTTACTAATTTTTCATCTAAATTTTTCTACTCAAAATGTTTTTATTATTAAGTAATAATGTTTCAGCATTTCCAAAAATCACTAGTTTCTAGATTTTTTTGCCTAGGTAATTCAACCAACAAGTATTTTGTAGAAAGGTAGCTTTAGTTTTCATCTTATGTGAATTATAATGTCTAATCACACACATATGTGTTTTATATATAATATATGCATGCATACATACTCATGGATTATATATTATTAAAAATACTCTTTCTAAATGTGTACTTTTTAAAATTTCAAATCTATCATACTAATTTATTATTAGTGGAATCTAAGTTTTCTATGTCTATCTGATGTAATGAATGAATCAGTGAGAAAATTTAGGTCTCCTGGGTTACAAAATCCATTCTACTGCCTGTTTTATTAGTCAACATTTCACTCTTTTTTTTTTTTTTTAAATGAATGTGGGACTTGTTCTGCTAGATTTTCAATTAATTTACAAGATGTTCTCCAAGTGTCTCAGTAAATGTGAAAACAAAGTGAAGAATAAAAACAAAATGTTCACAGTATTTTTGGTCAGTGCCTCCTGAAATTTATTTCCAAGATCGTAAATACTTAGAATGTAAGGCTATTTTAAAGATGCTACCACACAGTATTTTTGGATGGGCTGTCTGTGTGCAAACATGCATCTGCTTTCCTGGGGGGTGTGGACTGGGCAGTGGTTCTACCTTCCACATGCTTACAACCCTGTCCAAGTGTAAAAGCAAGTCCTGGGAAGAAAAGGAAAAGGCTGAAGGGCAATAGAAACCTCAGGTTGTACCATCCAGAAAAACCCAGGGATGAAAACTGCCCTGAGTGAAACCACCAATTATTTCGTCTTGTTTTTACCTTCAGGGTTGGAAGACAAACTTCAGGGGAGAAAATAAACTCATTCATCAAACCAGTGATTGGGAGCTTTCTGGGGGCAGAACAGGTTCCTAAACACTGACATTACTCTGGGTGAAGGGCAGTCCCCTGTTTAACCAGGCTTTCTTATGAAACCTGAAATTCACCTACAGAATCAGAAAAACAAAGAAAAATGTATGTTCTCGGTTAAAAAATGGGCAACCTATGAAGTCTGAAAAATATAATAAATGAATATAATAAATTAAAAGTTATGCCAGGAATGCAAGAGAAAAATTTTTTACCAAAAAAAGTTAAAGTATATGATAAGTATATTGCAAAGGAACTCCAAAAACTTACCTAGGCATTCAATACTTTTCGAACACTTAAAGCTAAATTAATGCAATGCACCAGTCCTGGGCTATCAACACTAGCAGACTCATTCCCCTCCCTCCTCTACCACCTACCTGCTCTTGTTGTCAAGGTCACCCGCGACCTCCACCTAGCTAAACCCTGATTATGTCCAATCTCCGACTGATCTGATCACCTCTCCTCTCCAGGAAACTCTTGCGTCTCATGGCTTTTAGAAGACACCCTCGCCTGGTTCTCCACCTACTTCTCTGACGCCCCATCCTCCCAGGGCTCCAGACAGCCCCCTCCACTGTCCAAAAGACAGCTCCCACTCGCACAGCCAAGCCTGAACTCCGGAGCTTTCCCCAGACCTTCAACAAAGCCTTAAGGTATCACCCTCCTGGGCCCTGTCTTTTCCCTTTCCCTACAATCTCACACCCAACCACTCCAGGCTGGACACAGTCGTGACAGCTGAATCTTTAACTAAATCCCGAATACGACCCCTCCTCCCTCGCCCACAGCCACCACCCTGCGCCAGGCCACCATCATCTGCCACACGGGACGCTACAGAGACCAGACTGACTACACTGAAAGGGCCCGCAGCTCCCCCTTCACAGCGGCCCACGAGGCCCACCTGCTCCGGGAGCGTTAGTTTCGAGCCTTGCTTCCTGCCCCCTCCCTTGTCTCCGGGGCCTCAGCCGCCCCTGGGCCGGAAGACACCGGACTCGGGTATCCGCATGTGGGACTGCCAGGCCGGAGGAGCCTCTAGGGTCCTCCCGCAGAGGCCCGACCCACTCCTCTCTCTTCTCCCCGAGTTCCCTCAACCAACCCCACCAACGGAGGGAACCCCGGAACGCGGCGTGGTTCAGAGACTAGGCCGCGCATGCGCGCTGTGCCCCGCCCTGGGTACGCACCGGCGTGGCGAGCGGCAGGGCGGCAGCGCGTTGCGGGCCGGGATCCCTCCCCAGCGAGAGCCGAGGAGAGCTGCCGAGACCCCAGGCGGGGCGGAGGCGCACCTGCAGGAAACGGCAAGTGCGACGGCAGCGCCCCAGGTGCGGGGGCGGTCAACCGGACGACCGGGCAGGACTGAGCAACTCAGCTCCCCGGGCTGCAGCGGCCCCTGCCGGAGACCCAGAACTGGCCGGGCTTCGGAGCGTTGGGGGCCGTTCCCTGTTCTTGTTCATCATTAACATTTGTTTCTTTGCTTCTCTCTCTTTGGAAGACGGCGGGGCGGGAGAGTGGCAGCGCCTTGTCTGGTCTTTTTGAGCTTCTCCGGTATGTCGTGAATCACTGCCTACTGTTTCTCTTACCCTGCAGCTGGAGCAAAAAAATCAAGACAGAGCCTTTCACGTGTCAGGGGCTTTCCCTGAAACGTCAATTTTCCAGTGACGGTTATTTCGGTTTCCAGGTTAGCTCACCGAACCTGAGTGCTGGTGCTGAGATCCTTACCCGGGCGTGCGACGGAAAGTTTCAGGGCATTTAGGACTCGGTGACCCATATCTGATTTCCCTTAAAATCGGGTATCTTTCGGGCTTACCTCCAGCATTACTTTTCCTAGAATGTAATTGTTTTGGGGCATGCCATTGGTGCAAAAAAAATGTTACATTAACATGTTTTCCCAATGGAACTTCAACCACTTCCACAGTTTGGGTGGAGATTGAGCCCACTTTGGAGCCCCTCTTTCCTCTGTGGGTTGTACTGGTCCCTCAGGAGCTTGTGGAGTCCAAGAAAATTGGAGGAGGACCTCACATCTGGCTGCGGTTTTCCCCCTAACATGTATGTCAGCCACCCACCATGTCACCCTTGAGTCCCGTCCTTTCCTCCAGGCTTGGAAGAGCTAAGTTTTCGTCACAAGTGTCAGGCTACAGCCTCTTCTAGAGGCAGCAGCCCCCATTCTTTCCATCTTTCAGGCAAGTCCAGCTTTTTTTTTTTTTTTTTTTTTTTTTTTTTTTGATGTCCTTGTCCTTCCAAAACAAAAGCTATTCTCTCGGGAATGTTTGGTTTTTTTTTTTTCTATTCTCTCTATAGTAACTCTTCTCATCCTTCCAGTCTCAGCTCAGTTGTCACTTCCCAAGAAAACCTTCTCTGTCCCTAGCCTTCCCTGCCCCCACTTAGATCCTTTGTCCCTGTCCCTCATGCAGGCTCTTATAGCACCACAGCCATTAATCCCAATCAAAATTTCAAATATATTTCTGTTTATTTGATTAAATTTTCTCTGCTATACTGTAAACTCACTGAACATGACCCTTTTGTTTCTATTTCTCACCATGATATTTCCAGTCCCTTAGAGTGCTTGATAGATGCTCAATGTTTTAATTTATTTAATATGTATTAAATGAATGAACAACCTCACAGAAAAAGCAGCACAGAACTCAGAGGACAATAGCTTGTCTATTTTTTACTAAAATGAAGTAGCTCTGGCTGAGTAGTTCAATTGGTTGGAATGTCATCCTGACGCACCAAGGTTGTGGATTCAGTACTGGTCAGGGCACATTGAAGAAGCACACCAGCACCGCATAAATAAGTGGAACAACATATCGATGTCTCTCTCTCTCTCTCTCTAAGAATCAATATATAAAAATAATAACAAAATGAAGAAGCAAATTACTTTTTCTTGTTTATTGTTTATAAGTACCTAGCAGCACCAAACAAAAATAAGCAAAAAACAGTGGATCAATAACTCACACTATTTACAGAGTTTTTTTCTGGGATACCAACTAGATGATGATAAGAGTTAGCAGTGCCCTGGCTGGGTACCTCAGCTGGTTGAGCGTCATCCCAATAGGCAAAGGCTTTGGGTTTGATCCCAGATCAGGGCATGTACATGAATCAATGAATGAATGTGTAAATAAGTGGAACAACAAACAGATGTCTTTCCATCTTTCTCTCTCCCTCTCTCCCTCTCCCTCTCTGCCTCTCTCTTCCTCACTCTCTAAAATAAAAATTTAAAAAAATGAAAAAAATAAAAGACAGCAAGGCATACCCTGGCGAGGTGGTATTGCCCTCTTCTCTAAGTGGATTTAGACATACCACCCTTTACCTCTGGAAAGAGAACCTCCCTCCCCTGTGACCTTTATATCCTCCCAGAGTCACTAACTTTACTGATTTATCATGCTGCTGCCCCTCAGGGGTGAACTGTCTTCTGTAAGCTTCTGGCATAAATATAAATATGGATATAAACACTTGTGCTTGCTGTCTTTTACTGATTCATTTATTTTGACACACTAGGAGATAGTTGAAACTTTCTAAGGCTTTTACGCCAAACAGAGATCAACAAAGAAAATAGACCTTGAGATCGTAAAACTACAAGACACATAAACACAATCCAGAAACTACAAAGTCCCAGCCCCACTAGATTCTGTATTTCCCAGCTCCAGCTGTTTCCACAAGAACATGCCAACATAACATTACCACACCCCTGTCTCGGGCCCTTTGTGGAGCAAAAGAGAGCAAGACCCTGTCTGCACAACTTCTCAGATTCTTTAGGTTTCAGTGTGAGGCCAGAGAAGTGGCTACCACGAAGAACAACCCTGAGCTAAGACGGATACCACACACAGCAGCCGAGGAGTGTGGCTCTCACCTCTATCAGCCAGTCAACACGTCTGCATATAACATGGCCGCATATAAAACAGCAACAATGCCCACAGCCCATACTTATGAAATTAAATTGACACAAATAGCTGAACTGTGAGCGATGGGGGACAGGAAATGAGGGGTACAGGTGTTTGCATGCTCTGTTGTGAGGAAAGCAAGGTTGTCCAAGATGGTGAAGTCACAGCCTTTTGGTGGTTGGATGGGAGTGGTGGTGTAGGGGAGGCTGTGTCCAAGAGTCCTGCTCCTTCCATTCATGTTTTAAACATCCCATTTGTTGTCTGGTATTTTGGATGGATGCAATATCTTTTACCTTTTTAAAGATATTGGAAGAATGACAATATGTTCCTGCTGCCCCACTTGAAGAGTTTCCCAACTGGGTCTTCTTGCATCCACTTGATCTGCAGGCACATTCCTCCTGTTATGCCTTCATTCATCCTTGATAAGTTGCCCAAGTGTTTACCAGTGAATGGTGTCGGGTGGGGAGAAAAGGTTGTTACGTGGGGAAGGTCCATGCTTAAGGACATATCTCCTGAGACCCCCTACCCTGCTCCTTGGTCTCCATGATATTTTGAGGATAAGGATCAAAGTCTCAGCAGGTTTCAAATATTAATTCTTCCTCTTGAGGGAGACTGTAGTGTTTTGGTGCGGGAGGAGGAGGTGGATTCTTTTAACCATAGTTCCCTCGACATAGTTGAAGTCTCCTCAGCTTCTGGACATCTTGGTATATTTGAACCTTTCCGACTGAGGCCAACTCTCTCCTGGCAGAAGACCCATGGGACAGGATCCTTTCCAAGAAAACTCCTAGCCAACTCCCTTTCCACAAAACCACATCCAGCCCATGAAAAATGTACATAAGTCCTTTCCCTGCCAAACTCTGGAAATGAACACATTCCCAAAACAAACTTAACTCTCTTTGCTTTCCCCACTCAGATCCATCTAGCTGTATCTTCACAACTTCAGGCTTTTCTTAGGTAAACACTGGGTGTCAGTCTTGGAGTCCCTCTAGTTCCAGGGGACAGAGGTCAAGCTCTCCGGGTGGCTTAATGAAGCCCTCCTCAGTTAGCTTTAGCTGAGGACAAAAGCTCTCTTCTGCTCCCCATGAGGGTACAAGTAAAACACCTATGTTTTAACAACCATACCTAAAGAATGTCTTTCCTTTTATATGCCTGAGGGTGAGCAAGGAATTAATCATGCATACCACTAACAATAGCTAATAGTCACTGGGATTTTTTTAAGTGCCAGACACTGTTCTGAACGCTTTCCACAGGTTATTATTATCTCCTTGAATCCTCACCATTGGGGTGGTGTCTTTGATTATCTATATTTTACAGATGAGGAAACTGAGTCATGGAAAGATCTTTCCATGGTCATGAGATGGTCAGGGCAGAGTCAGGACTTGGACCCAGGCATTCTGGGCCCCCAGTGCAGGCTATTGACCACGGTGCCCTTCTGCACACGGATGGCCAAGAACCTCTCTTTGAAAGGTGGGGCGATTCTCAGCTATTTTGTTCTTAAGCTTCTGAACCAAAGCCAAAAGTATGAGAGAACCAAAAACATTGCATATAAAACTTAAAAAAAAATTTTTTTTATTGATTTTAGAGAGAGGAATGGAGAGAGAAACATTGATTCATTGTTCCACTTATTTATGCATATATTGGTTGATTCCAGTATGTGCCCTGACACATTGAACCCACAACCTTGGCATATTGGGATGACGCTCTAACAAACTGAGCTACCCTGCCAGGGCTGCACATAATATTTTGATACACATTTCTTGTGAAATTATTCCTAAATGTTTTATAATTGAAATTAAATTATTGAAGTTAACCAAAGGACCTGCTCATTTCAAAAAAGTTCTCTTTACATGAAGAATCCAACAAAACAAATGCTAAGACAATAAATAGGGGGCCAAAAGCTAATTAATATCGGGTGAAAAAAAAGAAGTGTCTGATGTTATACCACTTCAAATTGATAGAAGATTTGGCCACCTCTAGCTTAATCCCGTCCATCCATCCATTAATGTATTCATGAATTTATTCTTTCATCCATCCATCAATTATGTGCCAAGTACTAGTGAGGCCTTCATTTAGAGCTATGGATAAGAATTAAAAACTTCTGCAATAATGACTGTGCATGAATGAAATAATAAAATTCTGCCATCAAATATATTGTTTTATCTTTTGCCCTTAGCCTGTATCAAAAACTTTAGACACTAAAATTTAGCATTTGCTCTTTTG